ACACACACAGAGAGAGAGAGCAGAGAGAGAGAGAGAGCAAGAGAGAGAGAGAGAGAGAGACACACACACACACAGAGAGAAATGCAGAGATAGAGAGAGGCAGACAGACAGACAGACACAACCACGGTGTGAATTCCCCCCGGCCGCGAGGACGGGAATGTCGGCCGATCGAACGGCCGGCGCGTACGTACGTCGTGAGGTCGCTGCACAGGCAGACGAGAGCGTGCAGCGCGTGCTTGAGGGACGCCCCACAGCAGAACAGGGGCTGGCCGGACACGGTGGCGATGTGCGCGGTGGTGATCGCCGACGCGTAGCTCACAGACGGCAGGTTGTCGTTCGCAAACGCGTTCTTCTGCAAGGGAGAGCGAAGAGTAAATAATCAGTGGTGATTACGTACTCATGCGCGCGCGCACACACATACACACGCATACAAACACACATGCAAGCGCACGCTCGCACGTACACACGCACACGTACACACCCACACACATACACTCCCACCCACACCCTCCAACACACACCCCCACCCACACCCTCCAACATACACTCCCACCCACACCCTCCAACACACGCCCCCACCCACACCTCCACCCATGCCACGCCCCTACGCACCCAGGCGCCGATCGCTGGGAAATCGGACGAGCCGCTGCCCTTCCACTTGTCGAGCGTGTTTCGCAGCGACTGCGGGAAGTATCCGACGATGCCCATGTTGAGGTCGGACAGCTTGACGGCGACGCGCGTGCGAGCGATGCTCAGCGCGACGCCGTACGCTGCCGTCGCCGCGGCGCCCTGCGACGGAGGCTGCTGCAGCAGGCTAGACCTGCAGAGAAAGACGCGGTTACACGAGTCGTGTCACGCGTACGCTGCCGTCGCCGCGGCGCCCTGCGACGGAGGCTGCTGCAGCAGGCTAGACCTGCAGAGAAAGACGCGGTTACACGAGTCGTGTCACGCGTACGCTGCCGTCGCCGCGGCGCCCTGCGACGGAGGCTGCTGCAGCAGGCTAGACCTGCAGAGAAAGACGCGGTTACACGAGTCGTGTCACGCGTACGCTGCCGTCGCCGCGGCGCCCTGCGACGGAGGCTGCTGCAGCAGGCTAGACCTGCAGAGAAAGACGCGGTTACACGAGTCGTGTCACGCGTACGCTGCCGTCGCCGCGGCGCCCTGCGACGGAGGCTGCTGCAGCAGGCTAGACCTGCAGAGAGAGAGAGAGAGTTCTTTCACGACTCGCGCGATGTGTTTCGTGTGGATTTCGTGTGGATTTCGAGACCAGTTTCGGATTGCGTTCGGGGACGGCCGCGGCTGTGCTACTCGTGTGTGCCAAATTAGGCCCGAAAACTTCTGACTGAGAAAATCTTCTGAATGAGGAAAACTTCTGACTGAGAAAATCTTCTGAATGAGGAAAACTTCTTACTGAGGAAATCTTCTGAATGAGGAAAGCTTCTGACTGAGAAAATCTTCTGAATGAGGAAAACTTCTTACTGAGGAAAACTTCTTACTGAGGAAATCTTCTGAATGAGGAAAGCTTCTGACTGAGAAAATCTTCTGAATGAGGAAAACTTCTGATAGAGGAAAACATGGGGGCTGCTTGTGTCTCGCTCAAACAAACGCAATTCGTCCCGTCGCGAGGGACGTTCACGCACGGACAAAAGATGAACAGCATTAAGCGAAAAAAAATACCTCGCAAACTTCAACACATTTTAATAAATTAAATTCATTTGAGAAAATCGACTAAAACTAGACATTAGTGGTGTACTGAGAGTTTCAGAATTACACTCGTATCAATACTAGTAACATTTACATTATATTATATTATTATAGTTAAGATTTATTCATCTTGAATCTAATTTGATAGGAGTGACGATGGAATACCTGATGAATGCTCGGTAGGTGTCGATGAGAGTGAATATAGGAGGCAGCAGCCTTTGTGCTGCCTCCACCACGTTCTGAGGATCGCTGTCAGGCTAGAAACGAAAACAAAGATTCAACAATTGCATCACTACAAAATGTCACCCTATAGCTTTACTGCAGAGAACAGAAACGGAAACAAAAGATTCAACAATAGCATCACTACGAAATAGGATACTATCTATCTTTACCACAGAGAACATCACATAAACCAATTCCCTTCCACACGTACTGACCCTCGCAGCAACGCCCTCACGTATCACTGACCGTTTTTACAAGTGCTTCTTAAACTATTTCAGTGTCATTCACCCTCGAGTCTTTATCACAAAATTTCATTCACCCACGACAAAATTTCCTGATGTTTTTCACCGATTTTCATCCACCCCCCACCCCAAATTTCCTTCACCCTTGGGTGAACCATTCACCAGTTTAAGAGGCACTGAGTCTATCGGACGGCAATCTCGACTCCCCACTAACAAGTGAACGTCTCTCACCGCGGGTTTTGAGAAGCTGTCGTCAAGCGAGACGTGTACTTTGGCGATGACGGCGTCCAGCAGATAGACATCCATCAGACTAGGCAGACGCTCCGGGGCGACGATGGTGTTGGCATGGCAACCGGGAAACAACGACAGCTGCAAGTGCGGGGCGTAGCATCATTTGTAAGATGAATTTTTATACATATGTATTAAATTAACAATGTATACAATGTTTTTTTTTTACAATACATGTTTCCTTTATATTTATAATTAATATTTACTATATAATGTTTATATTTAATTATACATGTATAATATTATGATTATATATATATATATATAGAATTATTATATTTACTATTCTATTTTTGATCTCTATATGTATATATTTATCTATACGACTCGAGATATTTATGTGAAATACCTGTTTCGCGACAAACATCTCTGTGAGTTTGATATCGAAGCTGACACTATTGCAAGCCTTGCTGGAGTTCTGAACCAGAAGCTCAGCATCGGTGTTTGTGAGACCTTGCTTCACGAGGTAATCCTGCAGCAGACGTAGTCTTAGTTAGCACTCTTAATAACAGTTTCCCACAGTCATCCCAGGGCCTGTTGCCAAACCAACAGAATTCCCTGCTGGCCTAGCAAGATCTGACTTGTTCTTGAAGTTGGGCAAACTGCCCGAACCAGCTAATGTGAGCGATGTGTTGTGACTAATCCCAAAATAAATGTATATTCCATGGCTTTTCTTAAAATCCCTAATACTTTGCAGGAATGACAAAATTCTGATGAAAAAAAGGGTGGCAGGACACCTATATCCTAATTTCAAGTGTACTTTTCTAAATTTCGAAAACATTTACAACTTAACAAAACATTCAGAGATTAGACATTTGCCAAACCTAACACCTCGTGAAAAAAAATACAGCACAGACAGCAATTCAATACAAACTTTCTACTCGCTAACATTACGGCTACTTATACCCATCATCATTTCACACTACTCCTGACAATTGATACGTGAGCAGATAACCCCCTGTTTCCAGACCTTGGTCCACGTGTTGAATGCTCTATGGGCGAGCCTTGGTGCCCAGCGTAGCAGGTTTAACAGGTGCGCTCCGTCGCTCGGAAGGCTGTCCGTATTGAGGCTCTCGATGTACTTGATGGACGGTGGCAGGCAGGCCATGAGACGCCACGCTGTCATGAAGTGATACTGCAGGAAGCAGGCACCCTACAAAACACATCAATAACTATGAAACAGCCTGCCATGAGGTCACGATGTGATACTGTTGCTAGGATCGCAACATTATTGCAGGCTAGGCGCAAATTCAGTTTTTCACACGTGCATCCTAAATGCTGACATCACGCCACTTCACTGCCACTAATCACTGTCGTTAAAACGTCCAACCATATACGTCTCTAGAACAACAACGATTAGCCAGAGCTACCAGTCAGTCGCCGTCAGATATATCTATCAATCTCTGCAGAGCTGCCGTCCCCACGTCATCTGCCATCACCTACGACCCGCGAAAATCATATACTAAATACTATACTATATGATATACTATACTAAATAACATAAACTCGACTATCGAACGGTGAATCGACCTAGCCGCTCTTCGTACGTACCAGCAGCGAGGGCTTGCCACTCGTCGTCGTCGTCGTCGTCGTCGTCGTCGTCGTCGTCTCCCCCGCCTGCTGCTGCTGCTGCTGCTGCTGCTGCTGCTGCTGCTGCTGCTGCTTGCTGCCGTAGTTTACGCCCACGTTCAGCATCGTCATGCAGGCTTCGTAGAAGCGGTTGTAGTCGAGCTGGTCCTTGCCGGACATGAGCGTCGTCGCTCCCTGCGCAACGAGAAGCAGAGGCAACGTTTCAATCGTCGCCCGATGAGTGTAGGCAACCGAGGTGAAACAGCATTGTACAGCAAGTAGGCAGCCATTCTATCAATTGCACAGCAAGCAGGCAACCATGCAATCATTGCACAGCGAGTAGGTAGCTGAGGTAAAACAGTGCGCGCGTACAGGCTCCACTTGCGAGGCTGCCGACATTCGAATGTCGGGTAAATTCGTAGTTTTATTTAATCGCAAATGTGTATTGCGAAATGTGATTAGAAAACAAGTGAAATTAATTCTCTTGCATGTTTAAAGTGTCAGTCGATGTCGTAATGGCCAATTATTAAAAATGATTAAAAATTACCTTACTTACAACTATTACATAGGTCAATGGTAATGACCAAGATAAGTTTGACAGTGATACACACCATTTATAGTGTAGCACTACGGTCGACCACCGTATTTTCACACACGGTAAAACCACTTGTAAAGTACAGTAAATTGTGTAAATTTACTAGTGATGATGTAAGTCATCATGCCTCTCGTTTTACTTACCAGTCCGTCTATGTGAGGGGTTTTATGCATGTTGAAGTCGGTAGAACAAATATGATAAAACCTGGGCTTCATCGCTGCACCTAGGTAGGAAAGAACAAGATTAGTGTTGCTTAGACTGGGGTTGTTGTTGAAATATAATTACTGTTACAAGGCAGTAATTTTAACAGCGAAGAAATTTCCACGGGGGTCATCTAATCTTCAAGGAGACCAAAGCAAGAAAGGAGGGCATCCACGTGCACTTTCTGTCCAAACCATGTTAAAATTTAACACCTTCATTATGCCATCCGGGGGGGAAGAACCAAAGGGACATGTTTTAAGTGGACTAGGCACTGATACAACTCGTGCACACACAGCGTATGACAGGATTTACCTCCAGTGTGCACGGTGTACAGTGAAAAAAATACACGGGGGCTCGGGGCGATTTAGCCCCCGAAATGCCAAAAAGAGCCCCCGTAAATTTGCATAGCGTTCAATGCAAACCAAATTTTAGAGTGCTATTTTCATGCACGCGAGCTTGAAAAGTAGCCCCCGAAAAATAAATTTAAATTTTTTCCCTGACGGTGTATGACACTGCACTTACCGGGTCCGTCGCAACACGATATGTTCTTCCTGTAGCTGTCCTCCACTTCCTTGCAGGGGAAATGCAGCTTGATCTTAGCCTGCGCGAGCACGTTCTCCGCCTCGGCCGCCGTCGACATCAGCTGACCGCTCGTCTGGTACGTGAACAGATTCCACTGCACCTAGAATAACGTCGCCGCAAACATTGTACAACCGTACGTGGAAAATCGCACGCTGCAGTCATTTCTATTACTTAACGTTGGATTTCACGTGTAATTTTTTTAAAAATATTTAAAAAAACGTTGACATCCATGTGTAATACGTGAATAGATTCCACTGCACCTAAAATAGCATCGCCGCAAACCTAGCACGACACATACGTGGGCGATCTACGTATTACCATACATGGGAAATACGTGGCACAATGCAGTCCTTTCTATTACTTACGTTTGAATTCACACGTGATTTTTAAAATGTTTTTTTTTTTTAAAAACGTTGACATCCTTGTATAGTAACATCGCGCCCAGTCCACGATCGTTGCCGGTGTAGGTGTTGCGAAACATGAACAAGCCTCGAGTATTATGTCATGAATCATTGACCGTGACCAGTAGTAACCGTTCAAACCCGCTGTGAGGTCATTCGTACCTGTTCGGTAAGGGCCAGAGGTGCGGCGTAGAAGTTGTGCAGCAGGTATTCAAACAGCAGGACGAATCGAGTGATGTGAGGATGCACACTCCCCTCCAGGAAGCTGTAAGGATGCGAGACAGAATGACGTTATGAATTTAATTTAAATTAGTGTAATTATAATGTATTAGTGTATTAGAGTACTTAATACTCCATGGTTCATACAGGACAGAAATTTTTTTCAAGGACTTTTCAAGGACTTTTCAAGGACATTTTATCGGAAATTCAAGGACATTTTATCAGACATTTAATCGGAATTCATACACAGAACAAAACATACCTGGATTAATTTAATAACCCCATTCTTAATCACTGCATGTCACCTCTAAAACTTACCTGGATCACATTAATAAACCCTTCTAAACACTGTCACTGTGACATACCTTGATTTACTGACTGATTTTAGTGACTTACTGTAATTTGTGATCATCATTTAACTGTCTATCGTGTCTATAGCTTTTTAAGCTCATTTAACACAATTTTTATTGAGGTTTACACATTATTGATGGTACAAAATTTCTTTTTATTACAGGCAATAATTCTTTTTAAAAATTCAAGGACATTTTCATGAAATTCAAGGACTTTTCAAGCACAAAATCAACATTTACTAAATTCAAGTACTTTTCAAAGACTCCCCTCAAATTCAAGGACTGTGCGAACCATGTACTCTATTATATTTAAATTTGTATTAGCGATGTTGCAAAATTATCAGGTCACGGCAAGAACACATGAACATTTATTGCAGTGCTATGCACATACTAATCAATATGTCACACAAATTAGGGAATTATCACCAAGCATAACACATTTCAATATTGTCAATGTACATTGAAATACTTGTACCTATTTAAAAGATTTAATAACTAATACAATAGAAAAACTAATAGTAATAAATAATATAGATAATAGAATAGTAATCTCGAGTATCACAGACAAGCATGATGATGATTAATGATTTATTTATCTAGACTATTATTTTATCGCTCTACTTGTGGACGTAGAGGGGGGGGGACAGCATTACCTTTTGTCTAGCTCTCCGAATTCAACCATCAGGTGTCCACACTTGATAACGATCATTTTCTTCTGCATGCGAGGCAGCGTGTGGAAGAAGAAGAGCAGCAGCTGGAGATGCTCCACGTTCACGTCTGCAACAACACGGCAACACCGTTTCCCACTAGTCCTCGTCGACAGAGACTTCCGACGTACTCAATACGATTAACTATGAGCCCACGAAGTTCGTCACGTCGAGACGCCAACCGCGCCATGTCTCATCGAGACGAGACATCTCGCTACACCGTCTCGCGCACGAAGCCATTTGTTGGTGCATCGGCAGCCGCACTAGCATGCCAGCAGGAACAGGCGGCTCAGCTTCGCGCGAATGTGACAACGTGTGTCGAAGCTCATGCACACAATAACGCGGGGCAATCATTGCATCCCTGGAGGCAAACGCTGCGTTGCTTCTCACGAGCTAAGTAGACATTCGAGGCTACACCGTCGTTTTCCCGCAAGCCTCGAACAGAGACTGCCGATCGTGCGGTTATACGAAAAATTATGCGTCTGTGAAGATCGTTACATTAAGAGACAGCGCCACTTTGCTTCTCCCGAGCTAAGCAGAGAATCGAGGTTACACGGTAGTTGTTTTCTTGCGAGTTGACTGTCGCTCGTTACCTTCCATGTCCTCCACCTGCAGTGCGTCCTGATTGAGCGCGCCGCACCGCAGCGCGTCGAGGAATCGCTCCAAGATGTTGACAATCACCACCTCGCTGTCCCACTTCAGCTGATCGCGATCTCTCTGCTGCCACAGTATGAGCACCTGCGCGCGCCAGGACGGATTATGCACTTGGACAATAACACAGGTTTCGGTAAATTAGCTAGGCTAAGATGCCTTTACCATGATTACCGCTATAGCTGCACGTACGTCTATGCATTGAGGGTCTATTGTACGGGAGTCAAGATTAACAAGGATCCGCTACTTTGCATAGGCGCTCAGTTCCTAAACAGGTTTCACTCCGTAAAGTAGCTAGGCTAAGATGCCTTTATCGCGATAGCTGCACGTTTGATTACGTGTATAAGAGTCAAGTTTAACAAGGATTCGCTACTCTGCATTTTGCCTAGTGTGTTGCTCGTTTATCGGGTAGAGGCAGTCGTGAACCAAATTTTCTGCGTGAGTTCCGAGGTTTTCCGAAATGAATAGACAGATGTTTACATTTATACCCACGGATTCACATGCTTTCTCACACCACGCGGGGTGCCTTTAGTAAGTCTAACCACCATAACAGCAAAACACCCACAGCAAACCCCGAGCGAACACGCGGCACAAAATTGTCTTTTCTACCACCTTTACCACTCTAGAAAAAAAGTGTGCGGTAACTTTTCCGGCGGCAGACCCACTTGTCCGGGAGAAGCCAGCCTCGGGTGAAGTTTGCGGCTTCGGCGGAAAAACAACAACTCACCTGAGCGAGAACGGCGAGCGTGCGTGGGAACACCTGCAGGGGCCAGTCTGCCTTCGACATCAGGCTCACTCCCAGCTGCGTGAGCAGCACGTCCTAACAAAAAACACACGCGTGAGATGAAGAATTATGGCGAGATTACAACCTAAGATGACGTCCTAACGAAAAACACACGACGAAGAATTATGGCAAGATTACAACCTAAGATCACGTCCTAACGAAAAACACACGACGAAGAATTATGGCAAGATTACAACCTAAGATCACGTCCTAACGAAAAACACACGCGTGAGATGAAGAATTATGGCGAGATTACAACCTAAGATCACGTCCTAACGAAAAACACACGACGAAGAATTATGGCAAGATTACAACCTAAGATCACGTCCTGAAGAAAAACACACACACACATGCGTGAGACGAAGAATTACGGCGAGAAAACAAATGAACGCTTCGACCGTCCGGCACGAAAGAGAAACCGAGATCAGCGGATTTTGAACGGAAGCCAAGACGTGAAGCATTAGAGCTCTGAGTGCACGTGTGTTGTGCACACACCGACAGATTGCATACGAGCAAAGCATGCGTATTACGTCACCGCATCGAATAAACACATCGTGCTCACACACGCTCATGCCAATCGAAGGAGGAGATTGGATAGGATAGCATCACAGCTACAAACGTCTAGAGACAACTACTGCTGTACATGGTGAGTCTGCAGCTCACATGGTGTTAGCTGCAGTCTCACACCCTGCTACCATACCTGGTGCGCTTCGGTTAGCAGGCCCGTTGCGATGAGGTTGTGGTTGAACTTTGCAAGTGCACTGCTGAAGTCTTCACAAACGTGGCACGCGTTCGCTGCAACGACATCTTACAATAAATACAAGGTATCGTGTATGGCGCACCTAAACACTTGTATGAGGCACTCGAAAGAGCTGCCAAGTATCTTTTACAAGCAGGTGTCCACACTATTACAGTGGTTTCCTTGTTTAACTGTCACTCGAAGGAAACACAAAGTTCCCTTTACAGACATGTGCAAATGTCCATTCCACAGAAGTGACAGCTAGCATAAATTAAACTGTATATTGGAACGTGCCTGGCACTAACATTTTTTTTATATTTGAGTCTAGCTAGACGCATTCATGTGACTGACTATTCATGTAAGTATTCATGTCACGTATGGGGAAGACAGAGGATAGAAATATCTACTCGTCATAGGTGAAGGTAAATTTCTTTTGTATGATCACAATATTGAAGTTTCAATTGAACATTAAGGAAACTTAAAGTGCTAAAACTCACAGCTCTCTCTGTTTGTATCCCTGTCCAGATCTCGGATCACACAGGCTAAGCTGGCCATGTGGGGCTCTCCAAATGATGTCCTATAATAAAATTCGCTCCCGTTCGGTAAAGCTCGAAGCATTCGTCGTTATTCTGCACATTTTCCTGAATGATGCATAAACAGCAACTTGGGCCAAAGTGGAGATAAATATTTAAACTCGCCCTTAAATGTTAGTGCTGGCCCCAATATTATAGTATGGAGGCAAATTGCAAAAGCATTTCAGGGCTGAGCAGTATAGATGGCAATCCTTCATCATGAGCTCCACCCATAAAATATGCATATGTGATATCCTCATATGAAAAATACAAGCATTTAAAATATTTTATAATAAATTTGCTTAATACAATTAGATGTTTTAGTCCTGTTTCTGGAAATAAATTTGTGTGAAGGGCTTACTTACATTGCAATGTAAAAACATAATTAAAGACGATGTCAGTTTTCCTGATTACCTGACATATTCCTGTATCTCAGAATGATTCGAGTTCAGGAAATGCTGATTCATAAACAGCATAACATCGGTTGCTAACGTCATATACTAAAAGCAAAAAAGCAGACGTTTTTCACAATCAAAACTAAATAATAAAACCACCTATTTTTTAAATCGTTCCTTTCGATTGTCAAAAAACAAAAATCTATTAATACATAAGATGTTTTTACCCAACTTAGCTAAATTAGCTAAAATAGCTTAGCTCATTTAGCTACAATGTGATGATTGAGCGATAGCATAAACATATCTACACAATATACATGTGTACATTGTATAGGTTTGTATGGTCACCATCCATGAATAAAAGATAAATACAATATAGATAAACGAATAAAGATGAAATAAAGAATAAAAAATAAAAAGAAGAAAGAAGAATGAAGAAAGAAAAAAGAAAATATAAAATAAAGAATAAAAAATAGAAAGAAGCAAGAAGCACGAAGAAAAAACAAGAAAAGAAAAAAGGAAAAATCAAGAATAAGAATAAAAGGATACAGATAAATCCTACATACCCCTTCCGGTTCCCTTCTGTCAAAGTCGATGAGCACGATCGGTGAGTCTCCACGCTGCTTGTTAGACTTGCCACCCTCCGTGCTCGGTGGAGGAGGGATGGCGGGAGCAGTGGGCTCCCGGCCATGCTGCGAAACAGTCTCCTCAAACCAGTGGCCGAATATCGGTTCGCTATCCTCATCTGCAAGTGAAGGCAGAGTCTTAACAAACTCCCATAGCTAGCCTGGTCCAAGATTAAAAAGTTCATAAATTCAAAAAATTTATTTTACAAGGAACGTACGTGAATAAAGCATCGTCACTGCCCTACCTGCTCTGCCTCCATTATTCCCCATAAATACAATGTTGTGTATGAATCCTACATATCCTATACATAAAGTGTTGTTCAAAGTTAATATTCGAATCCCCCCTCGAGTATAGCATACCTTCTTCTGCGCTGCTACCCTCTGAACTACTGAAATCATCTTCGTAGAACGTGTTTGAATCTGAAGTGCTCGCAGTCTCTATCTCATCGCTGCCTTTGTGTTGTTTCTTCAGCATGCAAGCCTAACATGAGATGAATCGAAGTCAAGTATGAACAACAGTAGCAATCAAACTAGTCAAACACACGCATTTAAACTTGATATTTCACAAAAAAATATAATTGTCGGATTTTCAGTAGTCAGAACAGTTACTCTAAAACAACTGATCATTTACATGATTTTGGCATGGCCTAAACAAAAGCAACTTGCTCTCTAAACTGATTTTCTCCCGCATTTTACACATCAAACAATTTTCTTTTAAAAAACAAACTTTAAATTGGGTTAGGACCTACCTAAATTTGAGATAATTGCACAATCTATGTATATATCTATCTATCATATATATATATATATATATTATTTATATATAATAATAATAATAAATAATATATACATAATACGTGACAGACAGCTCACCTTCCTGTAGGCGGTCGTGAACAGTGAGAAGAGCAGGTTGGTCATGTGGACGTCATTGCGCAGCAGCCGTATGCGCTGCCACGCTGTGTAGGTATCCACCACCCTGCCCAGCTCCGCCGCCGGCAGGCTGGCCTCCTCCTCCGTCGCAAAGCACTCCACAGACAGATCCTCCATCAGAGAGCTCATCAGGTGTATCGCCTTCGACGCGAGAGCCAGAGAGAGCACTCCCAAACACTGGTGCCTACACACGATATATACATATAAATAAATAAATATATATATATATATATAGAGAGAGAGAGAGAGAGGAGAGAGGAGAGAGGAGAGAGCCAGAGAGAGCACTCCCAAACACTGGTGCCTACACACGATATATACATCATCAATACGTCATCAAGTGCATTACCTTTGATGCAAGAGCTACGTATAGGCCTTCTAAACACTGGTACCTTCACATGATATCGAAGAGTAGATAATAACACACGAGTGAGACACTCGATTCCGCATTTTAACACGAATTTTTCTTACAAACTTGCGCACCAATAAAGAAGCCAGTGTATAGTTCCTTCAGCTTTATTATGACCACTAATCCACTCACTCTTCGTGTACTGAATATTACGTTTATCATATAGTTTGCTAGCGTATTGCTTGTAAATCGTAATCTGTGCATGAGGCTGATTCACACAATTTCCGCTATGTGTGCGAGTGTTAAGACAAATTTTGAAGCTACTAGTGGCGCCAATATTTAGCAACTGGACTTGTTTTCCAAATCATTCGTGCCCCGATAGGGTTGAGAGACAATCTAAATGTTCCGACTTTTGATCTCGTGAGGACCGCGAGACGCGCTCAGTTATTGTGATCGCAACGACCAAGAAATTTGACATACTTCTTACATAGTAATGATACGAATATATAACAATATTCTCTGTAGTATTGCAGTAAGTATCACATTACGCAGCGCGCAGGTAAGTCAAGTACTTTCCCTATCGGTCCCGTTGTAAATATTGCTGCCAACTATAGTTCAAATTTGTCTTAAACACCTCACACAATAGCAGGTAAGATGTTGTGCCGACATTCAGTTCGTGCTAAGATTAAGATCTTAGCAGCAATACTGCTATACAAATATATGTAAACGAATATCAGTAACTCACGGAAGGTGCGTGATTTAGTGGTCATAATAGCTGAGGCACGTTATATCACTTGCTTCGTTAATTGGTGGCAAATTTTGAATGCAAACAATCAGTTTAAAAATGCCGGGAATCGGCTGTCCACCTTGTGTTATTACTACTTTGATGATACATTACATAGAGATTCAGACCATACTGCCTTATACAACGCAACACCTGTCCCCATAAATTTTCACCTTTTGGTATAAGTTTCTTTTACTAAACTTCCAACGGTTTTGACCGTACATCACTTTTAAGACTATACCAGTTTTGGCTCCATGCATTTTGCTGACACGCAGTTTTGCTATTGAGAAAATCGGCGCGGCAGACGGCCATACAGACGTTCGCGTGCCCCGCCCCCGTGCACAACATTCCGTTAAATCCGGAAGCTCACGCCCTTTTTGCGTGCTTCGACGACCTGCCCGGCGCCGGATCCTTCTTCGCCGGCGAAGCTGTTCTTTGTGTTTCCTTCGCCCTTGCCGCGCTCGAGACCGCCGCCGGCGTGTCGCCCATGATGTGCTGTAGTCCGACGAGCAGCAATCCACGGGCGTTCATGTGGAAGTTTGCAGGCTCTTCCACGAGAAGGAACCGAGACCATGGGTTAGCACTCGCACACCACGGGCAGGCATGGGAGGAGGTGGAGGAGGGGAGGGAGGTGAGGAGAGGAGGAGGGCGAGGCAGGTGAGGAAGAGGGAGAGGGGAGGAGGTGCGGAGAGGAGGGAGGGGCAGGTGGGTGAGGAGCGGCGCAGGGAAGGAGTGTGAGGAGAGAGGAGGTGAGGAGAGGGGGAGGGAGAAGGTGAGGAGAGAGGAGGGGAAGAGGTGAGGAAAGGAGGAGGGGAGGAGGGTGAGAGAGGAGGGGGAAGAGGTGGGAGTAGGAGGGAGAGAGGAAGAGAGCGGGAGAGTGAGGAAGAGGAAGGAGGAGGGAGGAGCGAGAGGAGGGCGGAGGAGGTGAGAGGAGGATGGAGGGAGAGGTGAGGAAGAGGTGGGGAGCGTGAGGAGAGAACGCTGATAGAAGGGCGGAGTGTTGAGGAAGACGAGGAGAGGAGGAGGGAGGAGTGATGAGGGGAAATGGAGGGAGGAAAAGGAGGGGAGGAGTGACGGAGAGCAGAGGATGGGGGGAGGAGGTGAGGCCAGGGGAGAGGGGAGGGAGAAGACGAGGGCATGTTATTTTTTGTGCAAGACAGGAATATTTGTTATATTCATTATATTATGTGGACGTAATTTAGCTCCCTCTGTGAGGAGTCAACACATAGACATTTGAAAAGAAGATTTATAAATATTTTAGTTTTCACTTACGTGGCCTCCAGCTCTGGTAGAATTCTTTATCACTGTTGCAACAGCATTGTAGTTGTCAAGCTAGAAAACAAATCACAAATGTTTCATTTATGAAGTGGAAACACTTATTTTGCACACCCCCTTATATTAATATTATATTATATTATATATATTATATAATTATATTAATATTATATTATATTATATTAATAGCAACAGACAATCGTTTTTCAGGCAGGTACTATTATAATATACAAAACTATATTCACAAATAAATATATGTGAAGTTTTAATTATTTTAGAGAAAAGGAAATGACACATTCGGTTTAACAAGAAATTTTAGGGCACCAAGGCAAATCTGATAGGCAACAAGACAAGAAATTTCCTTTAAATAAAAGTTATAAATACCACTTACATTTCAACAGCACTTTTTACATGTGAAAACGAGACGCACATACACAACGTGGCATTCACGATATATGCTGGTAGGTAGGTAGGTTTGGTTGGCACAGTAAGGAATGTGCAAGCGCGGCGTGTCCGCCTTCGACGCCGTGTCTAAATCTGCGCCCGGTTAACACTCACGCTTTTCTGCACGATGCTCATCGCATACTGCTCCACGTCGTCGTCCTTCTGGATGTTCGCACCTTTGATCTGCGCGGCGGCGGCGACGGCGAGAACGCTGTTGCTCGCGGCGACGGACACGGACGCGAAGAGGCAGCTCATGACGACGGTCGCGACCTTGTGGAGACGCGCAGAGGTCATCGGTTCGAGCAGCGGCATGCTGGTAACGCGCCACACGATGTGAAGGTCGTTCATCAGCCCCTGCAGACTACGGAGGAAACAATGGACTAGAACAAGAGACTGCAGAGGAACAAGGGAAGGTTATTCGTCAATCACAGCAGACTGCGGAGGAACAAGGGAAGGTTACACATCAATCACTGCAGACTGCGGAGGAACAAGGGAAGGTTACACATCAATCACTGCAGACTCCTCGCGCCAACTCTACCTGTTCCTCGTGACCTCGCACTGACCTGTTCTTTGTGACCTCGCACTGACCTGTTCTTTGTGACCTTGCACTGACCTGTTCTTTGTGACCTCGCACTGACCTGTTCTTTGTGACCTTGCAACCTTGCACTGACCTGTTCCTTGCGACCTCCCGACCCCGTACTGACCTGTTCCTCGCGACCTCGTGACCCCATACTAACCTGTTCTTTGCGACCTTATGACCTCGCACTGACCTGTTCTTTGCGACCTCGCGACCTCACACTGACCTGTTCCTCGTGCTGACGGCCTCTCCGACGGTCGTCGGGACGGCATAGGCGCCGCCGGCCAGCGCCTCCTGGCAGCGATCGATGTAGCGTCGCAGGTGGGTCAGCTCACAGCAGACGTCCAGCAGGATCTCGCCCGCGTTGAGCTCGTGAAGCACCGTAAGAATGCTGTCCATGAAGAGAGTCTGCGGCGGCGGCGGGAGTCGAAACGAAAACGAAATCGTTTAGAGGCGAAGGTTTGACGGCTCGATTGGATGCTTTCGGACGTCGCGGAAAAAGAATGAATGTGAAGAAGAAAAAATGGGAAAGAACTGAAGAATGTGTGCGAGTCGAACAGAAATCGGAATCGTTTTTCGGGAGCGAATCTAGCGTCGTCGATGGCCCGATCGCATGCTTTAGGGTGTTGCGGAGAAAGTCAGATGGGGTGCCATGAGGAGGATGTTAGTTTGGCGAAGGGTTATCGGGGTCCACTTACTTTTCAGCTACACTTTTTAAATGCAGCGGGAGTCGAAACGAAAACAAAATCGTTTAGGAGAATAGAGAGTCGTCGGCGGTTTGATCGCGGGAAGTTAGAGTCCGTAGGGCGTCACGGAAAGTTGGGACTGGGAGTCATGAGGAAGATTTTGGTTTGACGAAGTGAACTTACTTATCGATCAAATCATTATTATTATTATTATTAATTATTATGATTAATTATTATAATTATAATTATTAATATTGGATTATTATGGATCGGGGCCACTTGCTTTTCAGCTACACTTTGTAAACACGTGGAAAAAGATGTACGAATGGTGTAGGGCACGGCACCTGTATTTCAGACACTTCCGGAGGGGGGGGGATGCGGAACCTGTGTTTCTCACACAGCCGGAGGAGGGGCAGACTTCACACCTGTATCTCGCGGCTCGGGTCGGTGATGTGCACGATCGTCGTGTCGCCGTCGCTGTTCACACTCTTGATCGGCTCCACCTCCTCCTTGTACTTGGTGCGGCGCGTGCCGCGGATGGGAGACATCAGCTGCTCCACCATGCAGGAGACCGGGTCGACGCGAGACAGCTTCTTAGATGCCTTCCTCTCCTTCTCCTCGTCCGGTTTGTCATTCTTATCTGCGGAAGGCACAGCCGGGTGAATTTTGGGGATCGGGTCGCAACTTAAAGGATAGTTACGACGTAATATGTAATTTATAATAAATATATCGTCATTGAATATAATTATTATGATTGAATCATATATATATGTATTAAAATATATCATATATTATAATAACATATTATCAATTATACATAACAAATATTATTTAAACTAATAATTTCATTGGACTTGTAACATCACCCCGGTGTTAAGATTATCGAAACCATCTTAGATGGCGAGCATAGATCTCAGGATCATCATTGGAAAGCATTTCAGGCGGTCGAGTAATTATGAAACCCCGCGTGATCACGTCGACCCACCGTCGCCACGAGTCTTGATGTGCTGCGGTAGTTTTGCAGACTTCATCACGCTCGTTAGCGTTATCACGTCTGTCCGCTGCAGCAGACTGATGCCCTTGTGCAGCGCCTTGATGCTGATGGCCAGTTGTTTCTGGAACGCATTGTTAGGAGCGTTGAAACCTACATCACTGTCAGGTGAATTACACGCGTAACTTACGTCACGAATGGTTTGTGACAGCTGCTAGATGGCGCCAGCAGTCGAATTCACGCGTACACATAGCGCATACATTCAGCTGAATAACACTCGTCATCAATACATCTGACTGGCATGACACCTAGCTAAGTGGTACTGCGTTTGAGCATTCTATATTTACCACTTGTAATAGATATTAAGATAGTATAGGTTATATACTAACCTACTACTATACTATACTATAGCAGAATAGGTTTATATAATATAGCTGAACTTCTATTTTCTATCTCTCTCTGTCTCTCTCCCTCTCTCTCTCTCTCTCTCTCTCTCTCTCTCTCTCTCTAATGAGGCCAAAACAAAATATATGTGTGGTTACCGTTACAGGCCGGAAAAAATAGGGTAGGTAGGTAGGGAAAACATTTTATTTTATTGAAATATTTTATTTACGAACCATGTCCGAAGGATGTGCGTTGTGCCTTTTGAAGCAGGAACTATCCAATTCATTTTTTTTTCTTTGACTTTAAAGAAAATTGACAATAAAATGTTTAGGGTCGCTGGGAATAATTAGGGTCGGTCGGGAAACCGTGACCACACCTATATTTTGTTTTGGCCTGATCTAAATATCGGTCCATCCATCTTAGGCAACTTATACACCGCGCGACTGCCACTGCAGGGTTCATAGTAGTAAGACACATGTTGAAATAAGGACTTATAAGACCCTTTCTGGAGGCCAAAATAAGAGTTTTTTACGCGATTTCGGACAGATCACCGACTATTAAAGTACACTAATAATATTTATATACACAATTGCACAGCAGATTTAATTATTCCGTATTATATATACAACAATTCTTACTCTAAGTCGAGAACAGTTTATAAAAGCTAGGGTCCTTTGGCAAAAAACAAGGACTATTAAGTACTTTTCTAAGATTTCACCAAAAGTACTAATAAGGGCCCTTATTTTATTTTTGGCAAAATAAGTACTTATAAGACTTTGGAAGACCCGCTACGAACCCTGCACTGTCTAAAAGCACAAGGTATCATCTTACCTGTGACACTGCACACAGCTCGTGAGGATCCCGCAGCCTTAGCAGGAAGAAGCGAATCAGAACACGGCATGCCGACATAACATCGGGCATCCAGCTTTTGCAAACTGCCGAAGGAAATGTGAAAATGTAAAACACATTGTACACTCTATGCAAGCCATATCATGTGCCATGTGGCACATGACAAGTTAAATCAATATAACTACAGTTTAAATACCCATATAAACAATAGCTATTGCATAAGAAGAATATAACACACTCATTGCACATACATTTGTAAGACAGGAATAATAAGTTTGCATTAACTTGCAGACTAAATTACTTCCCTATTATTTTTGCTAGAATATTTTGTATAGAAGTTATTGATTATTACTTTTTATGATCGTGTACTATTTAGTATTTATTGTTTACCATTTGCGGCATTGCAGCCTATGTAATGAGCAGAGAGTGCGGTGAACGCAGAATAGAAGGGTTCTTCATCATCAGAGTGACTGAATATCTCACTCTCACTGGAAAACAATTGCACATGTAAGCACAGAAGTAATACTAGTAATGAAGAATGACTGGTCTGTCATAAACGCATACGATTCAATTTGCATTAATTTTGTTTTTCTGTTCAAGATCTGTTTACCTTGATTACCGTACGCGTCACGGTTCAAGCATCTGGTTGATACATGAAATCTCATTAAATTCTTCCTTCTCTACCCTGACTCTTATAACAGACATGTGCTGACTCGCTAATTGATTTGGAAAAGGTCTACCTGTCCTAATACATATTATTATACATGTTATAGGCTTACTGACGCTCATAGGGTCTATGTCCCCCAGGGTACTGCCAGAACTGGTAAATATTTGATATGGTTAGGGTTAGGGTTAGGGAGTAGGCGTAGGCGACTCCCAAGACTCGTTAGTGGAGTAGGCGAGGTACGGTCCGGCATATTAGATAGTACCAGGGTATGTTCCGGTATACAGGACCGTACTCAGGGTACCAGAGGCAGTATACCCTGGGGGACATAGACCCTCTCAGCCTTACTGACGCTGAGAAGGTCTATGTTCCTTAGGGTACTGCCGGAACGTACCCTGGGTACGGTCCGGTATACCGGAACATATCCAGCTGGTACCGGAGGCAGAGCATATAAATCAATGTGATTTATATGCTCTGCTGGTACTATCTAATGTGCAGGACCGTACCTCGCCTACTCCACTAACGAGTCTAGGGAGTCGCCTACGCCTACTCCCTAACCCTAACCATATCATTATCAGTTCCCAAGGTATGTTCCGGTATACCGGACCGTACCCAGGGTACCTTCCGGCAGTACCCCGGGGGACATAGACCCTCTCAGCCTTACTGACAGTGACAATTCGTCATCAAAATACGGGCCGCAATGAGCACCTTATGATTGATGGTCATTAAAATTCCGATTTCAAAATGAGACATTAGTTTCTTTCTCCATTATCACACATACAGACCTTCTAGAAATCGCATTGACCAAATCCGGCACATCATTTTTGTTGAAACTTCCATAAGAAGCAGCTAAAATTGGTTTTACACTGACAGACCACTCGACTCCTGGACTAGACGACGCCATAGCTCCACTTTTTAGCAGGAGAAATTACCCAGAATGCATTTTAAAATGATATTAAATTACGCACGCGCAATGCACTGCTAGACAATTTACTCTCTCCTCTCTCCTCCATCATAAACAACCATGGCGGAAAGTTTGCAAAAAAGACTTCAGTCGGAGCTAGACAAGTACAAATCAGTGCAAAAAGGTGTGTTTCCCACCAGGTTATAATTAAGAAAATCACTGTACAATCTTTATCTTGCAACTCAGACTTAAAAGGCAATTTAAATTGTGTGCATTGCTGGGATAAAATAATTTGATTTTACGGGGTGGTCAAACGCCCAGTGCAATGATTCGAATAACGAATAACTAAGCCAGGCAGTACCGGCGGCCACTGCCAGATACGCTCACTACCATTACGTGTATCTCAAATAAAATAATCATGACATCTAAGCATTTCTGCCTTGTTAGCTCATCTGACATACCAGTCAGATGCAGCTTGTAGAATCACATGAGCGTGCGTCCATCCGGCCGTGCGTCTGTGCGTCAACAGTTGGGCACAAATCTTAACCGCTCGACGTACAGTCACGATATTCGGGACGTCGGGGGGGATCGTCAAAACGAGTTGGGATGTCGAAGCTGGGGGGTCAAAGGTCATAGGTCAAGAGGTGTAAAAGAAGGGGGAACATTCCCTCCTTAACTCAAGGCATAGGGAGGAAATGCAGAATTGCGGCACAAATCTAAACAGCTCGACCTAGGCTCGTGATAGTCGGTGTATAGCATCATGGTAGGAA